CTTCTTTATTTCCTCAAATAAACTTACAAGATATTCCACTCTTTTGCTTCTGCCAAACATTTAAATAAGAAATTGCATGAAAAAATACTACGGTTTAACCCAATATTCTTAGCCTGCAGAAACACATCAACTGCATTTTCAAGCATCGAATTTGCTGCAAAAAACCTTTACAAGTACATCAAATACAACAATTGATCTCGAAGCATGATTAGGCGAATCCAGTAATGCAGGGAACAATTCAAACAAATCAAGATTGGTTTTTTCATAGTAGCAAACAATATCCCTAAGAAAAGCATATACTTCTCTATCCATTCCCACTAAGGCAAGCACGTGTAATGATTCTAAATGCCTCACTTGAATGAGATAATCCATATATCTTCGAGAACCTAATTTTTCTTGCAACCATCCAATTCAAAGACTTCAAAACTCTGACTATAACCGGATAAAGCTTACGCTTTTTCCAAATTTTCGCACTTGTTCTTGGAACAACAATTTGATTAGCTATACATTTTACACTGTGTCATCTGACAACAAAGCAAGAGAAGCACAGCTATACATTTTACAAAACTATTTTTCTCTGAACCAAACTTGATTCTGAAACAAACCCAATTCCAATAAAGTTGTGGAAATTAAACTAAATGATCTTCTTTTCGAAAAAAAGCACATACCCATGAATCAAAAACAATTCCAGTTTTAGACTTATCCCAATTCTCTGGGGTCGGAGAAACAAAAAGTGTTGTTCCACCATTGCAGTCTAGGCGAGACCATGCGAGTGATTGATGAGATAAAGAGATAAACCCAATACAATATGACTAACGATAAAGCGAATTCTACAAGAACGAGTACAAACTAACTATGGAATGTGAAAAATGATGTGGTGGGTATAACTCAGTTTCAGAAGATAGAGCCAAAGAAGCAATTTTGAAGACTATCCCACCAGAGGAGAGAGAGAGAGAGAGAGAGAGAGGGGTTCTGAGGCAGTGTTTGAGCTACGGCTGTTGAGTAGTTTGCGTCAAATTTTGGGTCTCTGTGGAAGCTGAGAACACCACCGCACATACACACCGCCCTCTTCACCAGCGGTGTGGTGTGGTGGTGTTTTTTTTTGTGGCTTTTGTTTGAGAACCTACATTTAGGGCTGCGATATGGGCTAAGCCCACCTTAAGCCCATATACTCAGCCCAATTTGTTATTTTATTATTTATTTTTAATTTAATTTAATTTTTTTGATATATTGTTGGCCATGTCTTGAATAAATATTAAGTGTAACAGTTGTGAAAAAAAAAGAGTCTAAATCTTATAGTAAAATGGAAGAATTCTAATCAATTCAACCATGTATTCAAATTTAGTTTTGCAATTAAACATATGTGTAAACGTGTCCCGAGAACTCTCCAGGCTCTGCGCTGCGAGGGCACGAAATTTGTTTTGTTCTAGGCTACTACAGTTCAGACTCAATGTCACGGTTCTGAATCTAATCTCGCAAAGTGCAATGCAAGACTGATAAATCACTAAAGAGTCCAAATCCGGCAAATCGTTTTGGAAAAATTGATTTTTACAAAGAACTACCAAACATGGACTGCTTTGTCAGATATAGAGTCGCCACCTAAATATTTTATTTTGGGGGAATTTAGGAAACTCTGACTCGTGTCTCAGGCCACGTGTCCGTTATCACCAAAGTTGCCTCGGCTTGGGAACTTGGATACGAGAGGGGAAAGTCATGCAATGAGCACCCCCACTGTAATAACCCTCGTCACTGATTACCGAATAACCATTGATTACCGTTAAACTGAACTGATTATGACTGATAAGTGAACTGATTGAAATACTGAACTGACTGACTGAAATTTGAAACTGAATCGATTGAGTACATCTGTTTGAATTGCATTCTACCTGTTGATTGCTTATTTGATCTGTTCGTATTTTAGTGTTTAAACTGCTAATTGAAGGCTTTATTGGCGGCCGAACCGGGAATTGGTTAAGTGTTTTACGATCATTGTGATCTATGTGATTTTATGGTGTAATTATCTGAAAACTGATTAGGTATGATTGAATTAGATTAAATATTGATAGATTGCATAATTTGACTTAATTACCATTAGGCCACTTAGTGGGCCACTATCTCATACACATTTGAGCCTTATACCTGATATGAACATTTGCTCAGCCATTTCTTTTGAGTACATCACCGACTAGAGAGAGGGAAATAGGGAGTTAGAACGAATTCACCTTGAATTGCTTGGAAACTTGAAGAATTGCTTGGTAATTGAAAGTGTAGATTGCTAAATTGAGCTCCTAGTCTTGCATACAAGACCTAAGGTAGAGTAACCACTCTTTTGTTCTTGACTTTAAGTAAATTCTTGCATGATTTATAGTAAATTGAAGCCCTGAGCCAAGTTATGGCTCTTACATGTTGAATTGTAGCTTAATTGTTGCATGCATGGCATACTCTTGCATTTTTGAGCTTGTTCTTCATAAAAATTGTACATGCATGCTCATATTTTTACAAGAGACCATGAACTCATCATGTTTTTGAAAGATTTGGCTCTCTGGGGCATCAAATTGAAGCTTTGAATTGATTTGAATTCATGCACGTTTGTGTAACAAGTCCGCGGGGGACCTCGCTACAGTTCGGACTCGACTTGTGTCACGGTTCTTAATCTGAACCAAAGAGTCCAAATCTGGCAAATCGTTTTGAGAAACAGATTTTTTTTTGAAAAAGTAGTGCCAAACATGGACTGCTTTGCCAGATACAGAGTCGCCACCTAAATATTTTAAAATGGGAGAATTTAGGAAACCCTGACTCGGTGCCGAAGGCCACATGTCCGTCATCACCGGAGTTGTCTCGGCTCGGGAGCTTGGGTACGATCGGGGAAGGTCAGCTATGAGCACCCCCTCTCGCCCGGTCAAGTAATCATATTCTACTAACCGTAATATCCGCGAGTCAATAGGATGAGTCATTCAAGAGTGGAGACAATGACGTTGGCTCGGATTCTGCTAGTGGTCATGAGTCTGAGCCCGACTTTGAGGCAGAAGGTGACGCCGACTCCGATTCCGGTTCTGATTCAATATCAGGTTCCGATAGTAGTGCGGATATAGACAACTATGTAGAGTCTGCTTCGCTGAGGAAGAGGACGAAGAGGGCCTCTAGGCTTGAGATCGCTGGCGTTCATTCATATGTTTTTTTTTTTTTTTGTTTTTTTT